TTGTAGCAGCAGCTATGTGTTATACACTATTTGAAGCTAAATTCACAAATATTGTAGCATCCTGTTACGTGTCACACTCTATTTGAAGCTCAAATTACAAATCTTGTAGCAGCAGCTATGTGTTATACACTATTTGAAGCTAAATTCACAAATATTGTAGCATCTTGTTACGTGTCACACTCTATTTGAAGCTCAAATTACAAATCCTCGGCCAGGCTGGGCCTAATAGCTAGCGTATCGAAACTGTGAATCCGAGGGTTCAATATTCGCGACCTGTTGCCGCAAAAACGCGTTCTGTACTTTGAGTTGCGGGTGTGCTATAAGAGTGACAGTTAAATTCACTATTCGATCAGACAAAATTAACAAAAGAATTAGTGATGGGTGATGTTCACTCTCTCTAGTTTATCAATTGAAAATTAAGGACTGCTTGTGTGACTTGTGCAAAATTCTGAAACAAACAAACACAAATCCTGAGACGTGTTACATGCTATTTGAAGTTTTATTCACTAATATTCTCTTGTAACGTGTTACACGCTATTTGAAGTTTTATTCACTAATATTCTGTTGTAACATGTTACACGCTATATGAAGTTTTATTCGCTAATCTTGTAATGTGTTATACGATTTTAAATTTAAAACAAAAACTCTGTAACGTGTTACACGCTCCTTGAAGTTTTATTCACTAATATTCTGTTGTAACATGTTACACGCTATATGAAGTTTTATTCGCTAATCTTGTAATGTGTTATACGATTTTAAATTTAAATCAAAAACTCTGTAACGTGTTACATATTATTTGAGGTTTGAATCAAAAACACTATAACGTGTTGCATGCTATTTGAAGTATTTATTATATTACGTGCTAATGATTGTTAATATTAGAATTATTTAAAATCATTTGTCGAGGTGAAAAAAGTGAAGATTGTTAAATGAAGCCTGGAATTTTACGCGTTGGTAACATATAACAAAAAAATTATTAGCATTGTTAATCTGTATTTTGTACTTTTATAAATTTTGAAGCATTCAGGTATTATAATACAGAGTAACATCCTGTATATGCAATAGTTATTGATAAATTATCCTTATTAAATTAAAACTTATCACATGTTGACCTTAAATACATGTTAAAGTAATGCATGGTAGTAAAGTTTTCGGGGACCCTGCGGAAAAACGTCTATTTATATATACATATATAAATACTCCTTTCGATCTAGGTACGTATGAATATTAAACTTTGATCAAAGACCAGATCAAGAAACATTCTATTTTGTGTGAGTATGTTAAATATCGAGTATTGGAAAAGCAGTATCTTGGTAATTATGCATATCGGTGTAAAAAAAAGAAAACTCGAGAAAATGCCGTTAAGAATAGCACTAATCGCTGCTTTCGGAATTTAGCGAAATTAGTTTTTCAACCCAGTTTGGTATCTCGTATAAGACATAACATAACGAAACCTGTTATAAGGTATCAAAATATAATGCTTCATACACTAAAGTAAATGTCCCATTAGATCTTTTCTTTAACAAAAAAAAAAATGTAAAAGAACAGTAAAATATAATTTTAATATAGTTTTTTCCACATGATTAATACAATCCAACAGATAAGCCGATTGAACAATGCACTATAAATATAATACCCCAAACGTACTGGATTTATAAACCGTATTGCATGAAGGATATTTTAGTCAGCGAAATCTTCCGGTGGACGTGCTAAACCCGACGTTCTCAGTAACATACATTGCTGTAATTACAGCAAAACTGGCGCTGAGATAATTAGAAATTCTTGTAGTCTATTTAATAAATTCACTCGTTACGTTTCGTCTACTCTTAGAGAGAAATAATGACCATTGTTAGAGGGCAGCTTGTAAGCACTAGGCTTGAAGCCATTTTTATTAACTCGACTACTAAGATGCTAGCTGTATGGAAAAAAAAATCCATTTGCTAAGAATGGGCGTTTCGTTAGTGAAGGTATTAGTTATTCATATCAAATATTTGTTATGTCGTTAAGATTGTAAATAAAGAGAAAGTCTGAAGTTCATCTGTAAAATGTGTAAAATTATGCAGACTACAAAGGTTTTCTGTGCTATTATACTAGGACATTTATAGATAAATTGGCCCGGCATGGCCAGGTGGTTAGGGCCCCGGCATGGCCAGGTGGTTAGGGCGCTCGACTCGCAATCTGCGGGTCGCGGGTTCGGATCCCCTGCCCCACCAAGCATGCTCGCCCTTTCAGTCGTGAGGGCGCTATATTATGTGACGGTCAATCCCACTATTCGTTGGTAAAAGAGTAGCCCAAGAGTTGGCGGTGGGTGGTGATGACTAGCTGCCTTTCCTCTAGTCTTACACTGCTAAATTAGGGCAGATAGCCCTCGTGTAGCTTTGCGCGAAATTCAAAACAAACCAAACTATAGATATATTATGGACAATTTAAAAAAAATCTGTTACACTTTCATTTGTTGCTAGGTGTCGCTAGCAGACAAACTGTGTTTAGGCTGGATAACTTTTAGGTTAGCATAGGTATTGCCTAAACTCTATCTGAACAACGTTTTTAAATTTCGAACTTAGAATCCATAGTCTGTTCTAACAAATTTAGTCTCTATCATCAATGTAGAAAGCGTTACTATAAATTACACATGGCTCAAAAATATAGTTTTGACATCTTTATAAAGAAAGCCCATTCACGAGTTATAACCTACTGAAATAATCGTAAGTTTTAGGCCAATATACATGTGTTGATAGAAGTCAGAAAGATTTGAGCAAAATCGTTCCAAGAAAAAAAAACTAAATACATTTAATGAATAAAAAACTTGTAAAATACAGGAAAGCATTCGTAATTATCAAAAGTAAATCACGAATAAAAGCACTGCCAATTTTCTTTTAAGTGCAAAGTCATTATATAAGTTTGAAGAGGCTTGAATGGATAATGAAGAAAATTTTATTATAAATGTACAACGTTCCGACAAAATTATGTCATCATCAGAGACGGTTTGAATGGATAATGAAGAAAACTTTATTATAAATGTACAACGTTTCGACAAAATTATGTCATCATCAGAGACGGTTTGAATGGATAATGAAGAAAACTTTATTATAAATGTACAACGTTTCGACAAAATTATTTCATCATCAGAGACGGTTTGAATGGATAATGAAGAAAACTTTATTATAAATGTACAACGTTTCGACAAAATTATGTCATCATCAGAGACGGTTTGAATGGATAATGAAGAAAACTTTATTATAAATGTACAACGTTTCGATAAAATTATATCTAAAAAAAGTGGGTTCCTCGTCATCCAATTTAAAGTCATCGTATGTACTCTGAAAAGAAGCATAATCTTAAAACTGAGGTCAACGAAGTTTGAGAAATATGTATTATATGCTTGTATTCCGACTCCAATTATTTACCCATTATACGAAATTCACGTCATTTTAATAAATAAAAGTTTGGTGTTAAAAGAAACAAAGAAATATACATCTTGTACTGTTAAGAACCCACGTGAGTAGGCTTTCATATCAACTGAATTTTTTTTATCAACAAACTCTGATTCTCTGTTTATCGACACAAGTAGTTTTCGGTTTTTATTCTACGTAACGTGTACATTTTCCAAGAAAACAGCGGATTCGTAATGGAGGGTTGCTCATATAAGTCTTTGAAGGAAAATTTTATTTAAGCAGCATTTTCCTTTACCTTTACAATATAAAAACAAACGTGTTGGCATATGAACGACAGGTACAAATAAGGAAAACCTATTCAAAGAAAGCGACAAGTCAAACAAGTAGGAATACGAGGAAAATCTGCTTTTATTCATAAGGTAAGTTAGTTTTTTAAGTGACTAGAGCTAGTAATTTAGTCTCAAGGACATTTAATGGTAGTTCTGAATAGAGTCAGATCTGCTGGTATTTCGTAAGATGGAACGTTGCCTTTAAGAAGCCAAATCTGGTAATTTATTCAACTCAAGAACATGACAACTCTCTCTACAGCGATTGTAAATTGAGTCATATCTGCTGGTATTTCATACAAATTATAACAACTGAAGGTTTCAACACATTTTGTCGAGTATTGTTTGTCTAAAGTACTTGTGCACCTAAACTGGACAAAAGGTGACGAAAATTACAAATTCTTATTTTATATATTTTGTTTCAATTATACATGAACTTAACGGAAACTACCACGCTGCAGGTTGTACAATGACTTGATTTAGATCTATTTCTGTAGAAACACGATTCTAATACTTCCGTTTACGCACATTTTTCCAGTAGCATTAGTTAAGATATGGGAAGAGATATTTGCAAATTATGAAGATTCTAATAAAAAAAAGGTATTAAAATAACCTGGTCTTATTATATCAAACCAACCATACATTTATATTGACTTTTTTTGTTAATCGTTGTAAATAAACAAAAGACGATCTTAATTTTGAGAGTCGATGTTATGATTATTATTCTTTTGAGGTTTAAGTTTGTTAAATAATGCTCTTAATTTACCAAGAAATATATTCTGGTCGTATGTTGGACTGATAGGAATGTACTTGAAAATCTTATGTCTTTTAATTACGTCCATGCTGAACGGGAGGTCATAGGTTGAAGGTGACGAAAGTGTCGACTCATCAGCTTCAGATATATTATGTTCTAGACCTTGTTCTCTCCATTTGATGAGTCCTCTTTCTTCATCTGTCCCTGAAATTGATTTATTCGTATTATAATTTATTAATATTTAAATCAATTTGCGTTTGTTATTATGTTTTGATTTATTTTAGAAAGTATTCAGTTCATTTGTAAGTAATTCAATATTTATTGTTATAATATATTAATTTTTCACATGTTCCTCATTTATCGTGTGATAATTTCGCCCTCTATCAGCACGCTAAAACAACCGTTAAAAATATGCTGCCAGTTATATCATATATATATATATTTTATTTGATTCTTCAGGTATGACTAATGCGTAAGACTGTACACCGTACGAAAGATCAGATATGGACAATTATCAATCTATCATATGATAGAGGTTAGGCTATATTTTACTTTGACATAACTTAATTTGGACATTATGATAAGAGATAACTAAATTAATGCGTAAACATTTTATGAACATGACGTACCATTGAGCTTTCGGGGGATCTTAGTTTCACTTTGACGTAACTTCAAGTGAACACTTTGTGAAGGGACAGTCAAAAGGATTCGTAAACATTTTACGAACAGACTTTGGTTGGTGTTTTCAAGGAACATGAGTAGCAATGAAACAATAATAAGTAAAATTATAAGTTCGTGAAACACTATTAATACTGAACAGTATATTAAACATTACGAATCAATACAATACGAGCAAAGTACACAATAATGTATTATACAAGCTGTATGAGGAGTTTCTCTAAATTTATTATATTACATTAAAGAAGGGATCAATTATAACATATCGCACACTTGGCTTTAATTTGTATGTTATCAATAAGGATTTCATTCTTATTCCGGACAAGTAACCATTGGTATAGGTTAGAGTAGAACTTTCATTCAGCATTGACATGTATTTTACTTCCAATTATCTCGGTCATTTGATCTGACTAACAATTTATCTTTTTGTTGATGTCTTCTTGAGTTACTCATGAATGTTTGAGTATGTTCGATGTTTTCCGCCGCGTAAAAGTTTATCTGTATACAAGCGTAATCTGTTTATAAATAACTTGTAGTACTGAATTATTAGATTTTATCCTTTCTAAAGGGAAGACTAGAAGCTTCGTGTCTTTAGTAATATTTTTCGCTGTTATTGTTATACTAGAAGCTCCTGATGACATAGCAAATTTCAAACACATTTAAAAAATTAACTTGTGTATGTACTCAGTGCCCTCATGATGGGGGATTGGGGGGGGGGAGTAACTGGGTAAAATGTACTGGCTCTGGACCACCTAGGAAGTTCGGTATGAAGGGGTGAAAATTTGTGATTTGTAAGCATTAAATTTTGGTAAATTTAAAATTTATTAAAGATATACATAATTAAAAATCACGATCGAAGAAAGTTTTAATCTATGCTAATAGATGGCAGCTCTAGGCTAGAGGAGTTATTCGCTAGGCTCGGTGGAGGAAGTTCGCTGGTTCACAAGTCTACAAGTATTTCGCAAATGTCGTTTTCTCTGTATTACTAGTATTTGTTTCCTAATATGAATACTTATAGATATAAATCTGGTGCCAATATACTACTAGAAATACTGCATTGAACAGTTAATCCCTATTAAATATTTCTAAAGTACTTAAATAGTAGCATTTGGCATATTAGTGTGTTATAAAACAGTTAAACACTTTCAACTAATTTCACATAAGGTACTTTTTGAGGAAGCACAGAAATTTTTGTATCTCAGTTCTGAAATTTCTCTTGAGGGGGGGTATATATCTAATATTTTTGTCTGTCCTATATTACTTCAGCTTGTAGCATTGTATATGCGTATGATTGTCCAGTAAAACGTTTCCCATAGTTTTGGAGTTAGCAGGATCAAACTTGGTAGGAGGACTCGGGGTGGCTCGTTATCTATATGGCGTAGCTCCTACAAAGAAGGTGCCAAGAAGGGATAAAACGACCGCTGAAGGTCACCCAAGCATGATGAGGGTCTAAGAGTAGATAGGTCTTCAGGGTCGCTGAGACAGATATGCACATCGCATTTTGTGTTCCTGATCCTCTTCGGGATTTTTGGGGCGCCACGTTTAAAACTGTTTTCATGTATTAACTCACAGGCTAGCAGGACCAAACTTGGTACATATGCTCGAGTACCACTTTGGTAGCTATAGAAGTAATTGGGGATAATGAAGACGTGAGGAGGAGGAAGCAGTTAAGAGCGGATATTTTATATTAGTAATTATAATAAACATAACATCATCGCAACATAACTTGATTTCCATTGCACGAAGGCGGTATTCTGAAGTTTGAAGAATAAAAAGGAAATAGATGGGTGGATATTCAGAAAAAATATTTCATAACTTCAAGATGTTTCTCATCTTTGGATGTTTCGTGAACTCAGCAGACAATAAAAATATGATATATTATACATCTACTACAGAAAATCCGGGCAGTTGAATATTTGTGACTTAAAAACTGATAAAAACACCTAAGATAATGCTTTAACGGAATTACTTGTAAGGTTGCAATGTATTCGATTTATTCACAAACTCTAGAAGGAATGTTTCCTTACCTGGTATGGAATTGTCTAATACAAACGCAATGAGTCCACCAATAAACATACTGGTGTTCAAAAGAACTGTAATGAGTTGGTTTGCTGCGTCATTCCCTAAAGGAAAAAAAATGATTCTTTTTGTTATTAATGGCTAGCATCATACATCTAAGCTTTAGGTTCGTAGTTTGGTATGTTACACACCTTTAAAGCATGACTGTAGTTCATCAGATGAAAAAACAAAGAGGTTACAAACATGTGATTGATCAAAAACATAAAAACGAGTGATAAATATCCAATACTCTATAAATCGATAGTTCAAATCGTTACTAACGAAAGTCTGTGTATATGTATGTGTCCTCTTATAACTGGCGAACCACAGGTCTGACTGTCACCAAACACAACGTGAACCCTTAGTGCCCCAGGTCCCATCTGAGCCCCATTTGGGGGTTCGCGTTGGGATGGTGAAACTTTATATCATCCTCGATACCCTCTATATCTTCTAAATGCATTGAACTGGTATGCCAAAAATTTTATAAATAATTCACGTTTATAATAATATGTTAAGATACTATCAGCTGTATCTGCCTGTTGTTATTTAAAGGAGTTGTTGCAAACTGATAGGGTGGTTCTATAATAATTAGAAAACCAAAAATTTAAACATTCTTGTAAAGTTAATCTTTAAATTGACTTTTTTGCAGCGACTGTGATGACGTTTATCACTTATATGTGATTCTTTTAAATTTAACAAATGTCTTGCCCCCAGTGGCACAGCGGTATGTCTGCGGACTTACAACGGTAAAAACTGGGTTTCGATATCCGTGGTGGGCAGAGCACAGATATCCCTTGTGTAGCTTTGTGCATAAATAAAAACAAACAAATTTCTTATATATATGAAAATAAACCAATATAATAATAAATTATATTCCTATTTGCAATAATTATGTTAAGCCTGATGTTTACTTCAAAACTCTCCGAGAAGGCGTAGGCTACTTCTCTGTCGTATGAATAATATATGTTATGGAAGATACATCTTGTATTCTGAAATGAGTTCCTCATTGCTGTTTTAATTATATAATACTTTTATTTTTAATAATACTTCGTTTCTACAGGAAGAAACTTCTTTTATGTGTGTGTGTGCATGGTTAACAAAATGATTTGACTTTCCTAACGCTGGTATTGATATTTTCAACTTGAATGACACATTATGTGACACATGAGCTAAACGACCAGGTTAGAGACCCATAAGGTTCGATCACATCCGTTTTTTAATTTAAAATTCCTGATCGCTAGGAGGAGAAACAATCGGAAGCACTCTCCGCCTATGCGGCTACTCTCAGCCGAATATCGAGATTTGACTGTCACAGTTATAACTCCACCACATCTTGATGAATGTGTTCATCTTCATATTGTAGCTAGAACCTTGGACATTGCCCTTTTCTAAAAATGTTATTAAAACTCTGCGCTTCTGAGAAATTTCCAAATAAGAATCATCATATGCGGGAAATGTGAATCGTTTCGTTCGATTCTCTTCTCACAGTTTTATTATTATAAGTTTTTTGGAAAACTATTTTTATTAGTTATGTTAGGATGTAAGGAACGTATTTATTAAGAACTTTTTTAATGGTGTGGAATAAAATAGTTATCAAGTAAGTTGTCTTTCTTGAAGCATTTTTCCCTCTTATCCATAGCGTTGTTGTCTATATTTCAAAATCCTCTTTAAACTATGACTCAGTGCCTTCTTTCTCATTTTGCTAGAGAAACCGCTATTAATACATATTCGTATTGAACTTGTGGTGCATTGAAACGCCTGTATTATTTAAAAGATGGTAAATCAGTATAAAAAAATATTTGGTAACACTTTACAAACTTCCCGACTTCCAGCGGAATGTGCGAGGGCTTGTAACGCTAAACATCGAGTTTCGGTACCCGTGGTGGGCACAGCACAAATAGCTTTGAGCTTAACAACAAATCAAATAAACAATACAAATTTCTTTCATAAAACTCCAGTTACACTAGCAAATATACGTACCTACATCAATAGTACCTGGGTGGCCCTTAAACCACTTTGGAATGGTAATCCCCATAAATAAAGATAATCCAAGGATAAGAAGCAAATATACGTACCTACATCAATAGTACCTGGGTGGCCCTTAAACCACTTTGGAATGGTAATCCCCATAAATAAAGATAATCCAAGGATAAGAATATTTCTGGATGAGTGGAGGTCGATGAATTGGACATTGGACAGTCCAACTCCCGTTACAATTGCAAACATGACACAGAAGATTCCTCCAATAATGGGCTCAGGAATAGTGTTGAAGAAGGCTCCAAACTTTCCCAGAACTGCAAGAATCATCATGGTAACAGCACCACACTGAACAACCCGTCGACTAGCTACCTTATTGTTGAGAAAAGTAAAAAAAAAAATTATAAATGTGACATAAAGTTCAGATTTTAAAAATATTAATGCTTATATTATATATATACTTATTTTAAAACAACATATTAAGTCTAAGGAAGTAACCATAATATTTAAAATCGTTATATAAAGGTACATCTAAACTACAGTTTAGACTCCTTGATTTTTGTTAGTCTTGTATAAGTATTAGTTTAGCGAATATTTCATTCAGTTCACCAATGAGAACAATATACCGACAAAGGTAAACCTAAATTATGTTATAAGACGAAACTTCGGTATACTTTTGTTACTCCAATTGCTCCAATATTTTCACTATAGGAAGTTAGCCCGCCTCCAGATCCCCAGATTCCAGAGAGGATACAGGAAATACCTTCCGCAAAAATTCCACGATTTATGGCGCTTGTTGGAGGATGAGGTGCACAAGATAGTCGCGCGCATGCGTAGTAATCTCCTACCGATTCCACTATCGACGCTAATACTGCTGCAAATATTCCAAAAACTGCACCAATACTGACTGTTGGTAAACCCCATTGTCCTGAAAGACAAAAATGAAGATATACAAAAAAGGCACATACATAACCAAGTTTTCATATAACACTCATAGAAATATTTCTTATTTTCATCACACATTTTATTCATTTTATGGAATAATTATTGACGTGTTGCAATATGTATTATAGTATATACGAGTTTTACCTGATGGTTAACCTCAATCAACTGTTATAAAAATTTAATCTTCCCTTCTCTCAAATGTAACATTGTCAAAATACACATCAACAGCTTTAACAAAATAGACGTACAATAGAATATAAAACGTTTCCACTTCTTTCACATTTTTGCGTTTAATTAGTCCAACTTTTTGTTTCAAGATATTATGTGTTTAGATAGTTTTTACGTTGTGAACTTCATAACCAAATTTGTTTCACTATAACTGAACGGATAAGTAGATTCTGTATTAGAAGAATCGTTCAACAGATAATTTTGCAAACTAGTAACTCGGATAAAGAAATTTAATCTTTAATGAATTCTGTTTTAGATAGAATGATAAAAAATTAGTTTTTGTAATTAGTTACCTGGATAAGGAAACCTAAACCAGAGGCTGGAGTACATCGTCTGTACATGAAGATCAGTTCTGGCTTTGTTGGTTGGTCCTAGGGCACCTGCAGCAGTTAGTATGGTACAAAGAACCCACGCAGTAATTATGGTAAGTAACACCTGGAAGTAATAATTTTGGAGTTATTTTTCCCTCGACATCATAAATAGTGTTCTAAGCATTATAAATTTTACTTTTATTATAACTGGCCTAAGTAAACCATTAATTGTAAAGTATTGTGAGCGAAATTAGATTTAGGTATAAGCATGAAAGTAATGTTTACTTATAAACAAAACGAATATATTCAAAACCAAATAGGTAAATTTTAGGATGAAGTAGACGTTCACTTTTTAGTTAATCAGCAAAGACAACTTTAATATAAATAAATATATATATATATATATATAGTGTTAGATATATGTGGCATATAATAATTAGTTAGTTTTGAATTTCGCGCAAAACTACACTAGGGCTATCTGCGCTAGCCGTCCCTAATCTAATAGTGAAAGACTAGAAGAAAGGCAGCTATTCATCCCCCCCCCACTCACCGCCAACTCTTGGGCTACTCTTGTACCAACGAATAGTGAGACTGACCGTCACGGCTGAAAGGGCGAGCACGTTTGGTGGGATGGGATTTCGATCCCGCGACCCTCAAATTGCGAGTCAAGCGCCCTAACCACCTGGCCACATATAATGATAAAGTAACTTAAAGGATATGTAATTCGAAATAATGAGGTAATATTTATTTCACACAAAAAATACAAATATGTATAATCTTCTTTTTGTATCACCTGCTTTATGATACCGTTGTTGTGGTTTCCACTTTAACATCTCAAGACTGTATGAGAATAACAGTCGGCTGTACCTAAACCTCGTTTTAATATCCAGGATTTACCCAAACCTTACAACAAAACAGTTTTCAGTAACACTGATTTAGAGGTGTTTTTGTTTTACTATTAAAATTTATAATCAAAATATTGGTTCATGTTTATTGTAAGGTAGAGAGTGTGTGTGAACTGTGTTTAAAATGTATACCCACTGGAAAAAGCTTGAAAAGGGGGAATCGTTTGAGCTTCCATCCTGTTTCTTTACTGTAGCTACAACCAGGAATATTAACATTTCGGAGGTACTGTGAGAAGAGCACAAGAAGGAAAATTGTTCTGAAAAAAAAAAAAACAAGGAGTAAGTTTCTAAATACTTAGATCACCAAATAAGCAAAGCTACTTGTTACAATGTGTTCCTTATTAGTTTATATCACTAACAATGAACGTAAACTTTAACTTTGGCTTCTATCATTCTCCAGGTTTTCACTGCTGTTGGGCTTAAAACGTGAGTATTTCTATGTATGCATACCTTATGCTCAACCTACTTTCCCTATATCCTCCCTTAGAAATATATGCCTTGGCTATGTATACGATGATTTTCAGGTGAATCTCACGTCTTCTAGTGATGGTGGTACAGAACAGTAGTATAAGATTGCTAATTCTTATTAAGTGCAATTTTATCCAAATTTCTGTTTTCCTCAAGTTCAGTTTGAACAAAGAAAGTCACTCAAGTAAACAGTTGTCACTTCATTCGTGATGCACAAAACTAGACAACTGTCTTTTCTGTAGGCGAAACGTGTAATGGACTGGGATTTTTCCTTCCCCTGTGCTCAAGCGCAAATGGTCTTAAGTCACGTGAATGAGGTGTAGGCCGCGAGTAGTCTAACTTTGTTTATAGTTTATATTGCAGGATTTCTCCATTATTTAGATTTTAGGAGATTTACAGACCGATTTCTAGTGAGATTTTAAGCGGATGTTAGATTTCAGTCTTCGTGAGATTTTAGTTTTGTTTAAAATGATTTAGATATCAGTATAAATGTCTTGAGTTTCTTAACTTTAAGGTAATTTACTTTAGCTTTTAACTTTTCTTTTCTACATAAGGAGGAGGGATGTCCACACTGAACTGGTAAGAGAGAACAAAGAACTATTCTTTTACACTACTTCCCTCTCGAGATTCACAAACACATAGCAAACACTTGCCCATTTTTTGTTTTGTTAAAAATATTTTGATTGTATATTTTTATACAGTCTCTTTCTTTATAACGAACTCAATCAGAGCCAGAGAGGAACATAACCATACTCCATAATAAAGTATTCGTCAGATCTCCAGTTTTGTGCACCCTACCTATTTACACTAAGGATGTTATGTAGATTAAATGACAAAGTCATGTAACTACCGCATATTACCAGCAGGATAAGTAGCTTTCAGAAGAGTTTTGAAATAAGTTCTGGATCATCCCTGACAATCTCTTTTTGCCTCTGTAGCTGAATATCACTGTGTAACTACAATAAACTTGAAAACAAAAACAGGATCAACTCTTCTTTCACTGATTAAATAAAGTGCTCCCTCTAGCGTTCCGGAAATAAATCAAAATGATAAATGTTGAAAACGGCCAAGATTCGTTCCAAATAAGTTTTCAATACTGGATGCCTTTAAAGTATATGCTTCATGTACCTATATCAAGATAAAAAAAACAAGTAACTGAAAGCAGCGTGCCTAAAGATATAGTGTAAGCGATTCTTAAATGACACTGAAAGATGAATGGATATGATGTCAAAGCTCAAATAATTGTACAATGAAATCATAAGCAACATGTTTTAGTAGCTTTGCAACTATGTAGTAAAAACGAAACAAATACTTTCCAGAATAATGACTCTCCAGTGGCCGATTCTAAGGGCTTATAATGCTAAAAATGGGGTTTCGATACTTGCAGTGTGCATGTCACAGATAACCAATTGTGTAGCTTTATGCTTAACAGCAAATAAACAAACCAACAAGAATAATAAAATACAAACATAAATGATAAATAAATACATGTTTGTTTTACATCGTATAACCACAAGGAAATAAGGCCATGATGAAGAATGTTATTATGGATTCCACTTTACAAACACAGTGGAAGTTCATGGTAAACTGGTTCATATATTAATAATAATAAATGATTATTCAATTTTCTATTTTTGACAACTATTGTAACCTTATGATGCTAATGCTGTGGAAAATAAAAATCGTAATTTTAGCCAGAATTACTGGACCAATTTCATATAAACTTTAAATGAAATACTTTATCAAAACGTTATTATGTTTACTGAAGACTGGAAACAAAACTACATTTAATCTCTGAATCACTGAATCATCAACTCGACCCCTCTAAAACAACAACAACAACAAACAAACAAACAAACAACCACATTTATTGAACTCCTTGAGTAGGCATTATCAGTCTGTTCAAAGAACGAAGACAACTTAGAAAAGTGTATAACACAACAAAAAATTCGAGATCCAAAAGAACACCTTAGTTATTTAGGTAAACTGTCAGAAAGAAACTGATGAAAAATATATTCTGAAGTTGGATAGTTCCTGTGATACACCGAAAGCAAACACTTATCCTAAGGCCTTCTGGAATGAAATTCAAGACGGTGACTGAAAGTGGCATGGATATTCTTATCAATCAAAACAAATGTATCCACAATAATCAAAACTTTAAAAACAGTCTTCAGGACACCTGTAAATACCTAAATAGAGATATGTTAGTCTTTCACCATTTCAGTAACATAGTCAGATTAACTTCAAAAGAACAAAGACATTTATATTTTCAAGAACACAGTCATGAATCATTTATCACAAATTGATGTCAATATACTTCATGTTACGATTATTTACTCAATCTCTGATCATTTATACTATTGAAATTTCTAAAGTTAAAGTCCTAGGAGAAGCACACAACCTACAATTATTAAGAAAGATAGTTATAGCTTATACCAACATATGACTCTATTGGATAACTTCTTCTTTGGAGAAAATATGTCAAAAATGCTCAAATTAAAACATGGAAGATAAGTCATTGTGTACAAAGTTTATTGGGGAACAGAAATAGAAAAAGAGACTTACCCCATGAACACAGTTAGTCTCACTATAAAGATTATCTATTATGTGTGTGTGTGTGTATGTGTTTGCATCCGTCACCCAGAGTTGGGGCAGACTCGATTACAATAGTTATTTGTATGGAAACTGCAAAACTGTCCGACAGTGTACCTGGGCTATTTTGTTTTAGGATATTTGCCCAAGAAAGGGGATAAAAATACCCTGAAATAGGGCACATTTCCACTTTTTCTTATACACTTTTGGTTTTGAATTTCAGTACACAAGTTCTAACTCAGTTAAATGAGCCAATTAATACTTTCCACAAATAGGTACCCAGTTAGCATCTTATGAGGTCATTAGGGATTTAACAACAAAAGAAAGGACGGAGGGAACATTGCCCAACATTGTCTTTTATATAGTTTTTGCTTCCTTAACGGGTAACCTCAGTTAGTATTTATAAAACATTTGTCATCCTTGCATGGAGTATGCCATCCTCACCTGGATTGACGTAGCAAAACCTCACCATAACACATTACAATTAGCTCAGAATGACATAGCCCACTCTTCTTTACGAGTACCTAAAAACGTACATCATTTCATTCATAAATAGTACTGTTTTCCCAATTTAATTTGGTACTTTTCCAATATCTTCTATATTATTTTCAAGGAAGTTTGAATTAAATATCATGAAAAATATCGGATATTTTTCTGGTAAAAATATCAATAAAGGGTTAGCATTTCTTCTCAATATTTATAAAGGCTCTTTAGTATTGTAGGCCTTCATCAAGAGATTCGTATATTTTGAACAGACTTTTATACAATACTGTTATAATAATAGCGAAGTGGTTGTATCTTTTATCTGTGTGAGTCATCTATAAGCAAAATGTGAAAACGAGCAATGTAATTAAGTCCATTATTAGCGGAAATTAGTTCGAGTAATCTCCTTCATAAATTAGTGTCAGGATGAAGTCTACCTGATACACCTTGGCATATCATACCAATGTTGTTCTAATAACAACACAGAGGTGTTCAGTGAGGTTTTGAAATATATTATCGCACCCATAACAATGATTTCCAAGGTAGAGAAAAAAAGGAAATTGAACTAACATGGGGTTATGTAACAAAATGAATGAATATGATAACTAAACTAACAAAAAGAAGTTAAAAAATCATGGAGTTAGGAGTACTGACTACAAATAAAGTACGAGAAAGAAAATATTTTATAGATTGGAAGCACATAGTTCATTACGAAAGTATTTTATACTTGGAAGCACATAGTTCATTAAGAAAGTATTTTATAGCTTGGAAGCACATAGTTCAATAAGAAAGTATTTTATAGCTTGGAAGCACATAGTTCATTAAGAAAGTATTTTATAGCTTGGAGGCACATAGTTCATTAACAAAATTAAAAACATAAAACAAAATCGAAGTAGAAACAAGATAAATGTGTTCTTTGTACATACGTGAAGATATACATATATTTATTGAGAAAAAATAAATTCAAAGTCTAACTCTGCGAACTACGTTTTAGGCTTAGTTTAGGTTTGTCGGATTTCTTTACCTTTGTTTAAGAGCTTTTATAGCTTTTTCTTAACAATCCTAGAAAGCTTTCAATCATTGATGAACTTAGAATTCAGTTTTGGTTTCAGTTTCTTGATGGCTAAGGTTTCTTGTTCGTTATTGGAATGACATATTATTTAAAGTTTTTTTTTAATGTTATTCTTGGTGTAAGTGTCTGTAGCGTTTTGAGAAGCTGCCAGAATTTGGATTGAACTGCTTTATTATACGCTGCCCTAAACAACGCGTGGTTCATCTCGCATAATCTCTTCCACATCGAGAACAAACTTATCTATAAACAATATAAGAGCGTTGAAGTTTATTAATATTGTCCTTTATCTTGAAAATGTTCTCAACACAGCTTTTATAAATTGCACATATCTAAATTGGAGGACAGTTTGATTCCAAAAGGTTTTTTATTTCTAAATTGAAGACACTTTTGGAACATCGATATTGAATAGCGATTGACGAAAACCAATTCATAACAGTGCATTTTTCACATAACAATAATCACTGTCAATATGATGATTATCATATATTACTGCGCTTGTCATCATGTCACAATAAAAAATAAGAGACACTACTTGGAATGACATATATAGTCAATTCTTCATAACATTAAGAGTTGTTAGAAATATTTTTAGGGGCTGAGGTGGGTTACACCTTTTGAATTAGTTGCATTGAATACAAGAGGAGGTCTTTCCTGGATAAGCTAGGAAAAACGAATGGTTTCCACTGTTCTTAAAAGGGAAGCGTGGGTTGGCTTTGTGGTAGAGCTCCCTATTTCTCATCTGGTGTATCTTTGATACCATAAAATGTTTCCTTTTCGTACTTTATCAATAAAAGCTTTATTTAAATCTTACAATTCTATCAATAATAATAACAGAACACCATCAATAAGAACAAAATTCATTACAGAACGAGACTTACAAAATCGCTATTCCCCAGTTTTTACTAGCTTCAGAAGCTGCTTCTTCGAATAGAGAAAGTCCTATCAACGCTATGGTTGGGACAATAACTAAAGGAGTTAACCACTGAAGTATTATTCCAATAACACCTGTGAGTCCAATAACCGTTTCAAAGATGGACGCCACAATGATAGCACCTTGGATCTAAACAAATATATCAAGAGCTAAATTTTAAACAATGCAAAGAGATATTATAGATAATATTAGATAATAAGTCTGTTATGTGCCCTCTAAAGTTTATTTTTCGAAAGTATAAATCACAGTCATTGTATATCAAGATAAATAGGCACAATACGAATATTTCTCAATGAGAAGCAAACTGCTACATCAGTTTGTTTTATAATAAATTTGTTTCACTAAAATAATACAAGAGTACAGATTATTTTGGAACCAGTTGTATTTATACATGGTTAAGGCAATTACCTAGGGAGTCAAAATCAGAAACGTTTAATATTACAGTCACTTTCAGTAAAATCGATTATCTCATGCTTAGATACAAATATCAGTGTTCCAGATAAGAATCGTATCCATTTAAATACATATATTTTTACGTAAAAATGCCTTAGAAATAAAAATTGTGTGTATCAAGAAGACACAGTATATCATCTATGTAAAGATGTATTAAAACTGTTTAAATCTTTACTTTTCGCCCTCAAAATTTGTATATATTAATGTTTGGTTTTCTTAAATCAATTGTATAAAATAAGTGAAATGCATAGAACCAGGTGAATAAGGCGAAAATAAATTAGGATTTTGTGATAGCCATTTTTTATAGTGTCATTCACGACTTTACACTTTCTGAGAAAAAAGCTGGGTTTATCTAAATAGTATAAACATTATAAGTTTAAATTGACTAGTGAATAACACAAAAATAAATTAAGATTTTTCTGGAACCTTTTTTTTTCAGTTTTCGTTGATTAACTAAATATTTATTTTTTGTGGGTTAGACAGTAAAAACATTTATTACTGAACGAGAGGAAAGCTGGGTTTACCTAAACTGTATAGTTATCAACATCATAAGTTTATTTTGGATACAGAATATTTTAACAGACTATTTTAATATAATTTCTCACCTCTCTCATTCGGAGTTGCCAGATTTCTTGTAGCTCGTCTTCTGTTGCCGACAGCATTTCTTCCTCACTAGGACACTTCCACTGAGGTAAGTTCAAAATAGCAAATATCGAAGCCAGAAAGGCAGAAGACGAGCCTTGAATTATCGGGAGCCTACATAAAAAACCATAAAGTCAGTTCTTCATGTCTAAATATTGAAGTAGCTCTGTCCGTAATTGCGATGTACGGTTTAAGAGCATAACAATAAATCGAAGCAACAGTAAACAATATAAGTACGAGCCTGAAATATATATATATATTTCTATATAAAAGCTGAAATAGTGTCAGAGTTCTATAAAAAATTGTATTATTTTCCTGTTCGCGAAACCTTCCACAGAATCAACTTTATCATATTCTAGGCAGTTTATATCATTTATAGTCCCCCTCCTCCCCGTGTTTCAGCATAAAGTCTGCAAGCATACAACGCTAAAAAGGGTAGAGCACAGATAGCCCACTGTGTAGCTTTGTGCTTAAGAACAACCAAATCAATTATCATTTATATATACATTATACTTTTAGCTTATAATTGTTCGAAACCAGACAGACATTCTGGTAAGAAACATTCATATAAATTAATTGCTCTCAGAACCATGGACTTCCCGAATAGTGGAAAGCAAGATATATAGCTTCCGCAATGTCGTTTGGCCACAGGCTATCATGGCTCAAATAGAGTACGCCCAGGACCTCCGTGCAGCTGACACTATATACCATAAACTCTGCAGCACCAACTTTAGGACTAGGTTCCAAGTTCTGCAGTACCACTTTAGGACTAGGTTCCAAGTTCTGCAGTACCACTTTAGGATTGGATTTCAAATTCTGCAACAGTTTTTGACAGAAGATAATCAAATTTCAAAGCGATTCAAGAAAGGAAGACCACTGAAGGCAGAGGCCTTCATCTAAGTAGTTGACTTCCATGTGGCCCATGGGAATGAGCAGACTACAGTTAATGATGTGAAGTCAGTTGACGAATATATACCCTGATTCCAGTGAGATGTCATCCATAGATGGGACACATCTTTTTTCCCGGAGTATTTGCATTCGCTGCTGCAGCTGCTTTTAGTGGGAAAGAGGCTGGTAGGAAGGTGGCTTCAATAGGCCGGGCTATAATGGATACAGTTCGACCACAGGTGTTAGTAGTTCCACTGCAGCTGAGACTGGCTGTGCAGATGCACTATCACTTCACCTCTAGGCTCCTTATCGATTTACAGAGTGAACACGGTTTCTACAGCCTATATCATGAAGTCCAGCCGTTTGAACGGAGTGCTGCCGTAACTTACAGCACTGACATCCCTAACTTCACTGCAGGTTATTACATTCAGTATATGGCTGACAATGTTGATCACAATGCGAGAACCATTGATGGCCAATACACTTTTCACAGGATGGGTATCCTAGCCACAATCACACCTGCAAAGAAAGGTAGAAGATTGATTCCCCAAATCTCTATGACAGTAGAAGATATTGCAGCTGTTGACCGAGTCAATATCAAACCCATGACATTGCCATGTACTGGGTTGCAGTCTCTCACTTATGGAAAGTTGGATTTCCAGCCATGTGAGACACTGTTGGTGGTACTACTAACACACTGTGGAACATTTTATTACATCTTTGGTCCCATTGCCCATCGTGGCCCATCTACCAAGGCTCCAATCTTGAGCAACATCCGTGATCTTCCTACCTGTGATCAACCTTGGTCCTGGGAATCTCTCCTGTATCCCTTCCACCACGTAATTCATTCGCGACCATGCCAAGCAGTATGATGTAATACCCATTATAACATTTGATCAGCCACTTTGGTGGAAGGCACTGTCAATTATAAAATGTGAACCCGATGGGAGCAAATTGCGTGATATCATTCTCAGATTTAGAGGCTTCCATACACCTCATGAGCTTCCTTGTGTGTATCAGACATATCATGGCTGGGTCTGGTCTTCAGTGTGTCTTAGAGAAAGTCTATTCCAGCAATACTTTCAGTCACGTGCTCACTGGCAAGGCTTATGACAGAGCAGTGTATGGCCACCTGCTTGTTGCAGAAACCATAAACACCATGTTGACTGCCATATTACTGGCCATCCACTGCCAGCCACATCTCTGGAGCCTATTGTAGAACAGCTCAGTCAGGAGCTGATTGATGCAGCTGAGGAACATGATGAGAACAATGGTAGCAAATCATCATCTACTGGTGAAGTAGGAAATGCTGAAGCTGGAGCAACAGGACACACAGAATAATGATGTCTGACGTGACTCTAGTGACAGAGAAGCTATTGATGCTTATCTCAGAGAGGCAGTCAGCTTGTACGATAATCTGATGTCTGGCAGTGGGCCAGCAGCACATGTACAATCATCAGATGCTCTTCGAGGGATATAATCCAGAATACAGGCTTCAAAGGTATCACTAACAGATTTCCACACTGCAAAAACCATGGCTTCAATATCTTGATATGGTAGACATCATGCATCGCTTTCTGAGATCAGAATGCACTGGTGTCTGCAGATTTCACTTTTAAGTTATGCAGGAGATGTTGCCCTATCTTTACACAAAATCCATACATGTTTATTTGCAGCACACGACACAGTTATCTACTAAGTATCCTGGGGCACACAACACCTTTGCTGATGGTCTCCATGTGGTAAAACGCTCAAATTGGTACTGGGGTAACCTGTCCACCTACACACCTTGTTATAGGACAGGTTTTGAGGAGGAGCTTAAAGACAACAGGGAGACTAACCATAGGACGAGGGATGGAAGATAGTAAGAGGAACATTTGGTTACTATCAAGTCCAGTATACGCGGAAGTAAACCATTGCTATGCAGGATTTTACTTCAGTGATCTTCAGCATCAGCGACCAGCACAAGGACATGACAAGAGCACGTCAGAAACGATACGTTCATCTTACAACGAAGCTCATCTCCTTTTTATCTTCAAGATCGCCATTTTCACAAGTTACCACACTTTACAGCATTGACACTGGTGTCTGTACCGAGGACGATGTGAATGTGGACCATGCTGTTAGTGTGGGTCAAAAATCCTGAATGGGATGCTGGGCCAAAATGTCTTGGAGTGTGTCTTTAGGAAGAATGATCATGCACAAATAATCAGCAATATGTGTTGGTTCTAAGTCTATAGTAATCGACCCCAACTTCTATTCCAGTGCTTGATCACAGCTGGTATAAACAGCGGCGAACTGGACCAAGTATTCAAGTACGAGCTACGTACCTACCCTCTGACTCTCATCCAGTTTAGCCAAGTACTACTGGAAGCCGATAAACCTGCACTGGCCAAAGCTATATAAAAATATATACCTGATGTAGAAGATAACCTGTCTCATTGTGCTCTGGACGTATTTGACGGTGCTTTTCTCTTAAATCTAGTCTCTTGGGAGACTAGAGAAACATGGGAAAGAATATTGACCCATTTTACTCGATATGTCATGAAGAAGTATGGCTATGCTACCATCATCTTTGATGGGTATGAAACTGGTCCTACCAAGGATGGAGCTCAAGAAAGACGATATACAGGTAATCCAGGTCCCACAATGCATTTCACCAGTCACATGGTGTGCATACAAAGTAAAGACAAGTTCTTGTTAAACAGTACCAACAAGCAAAAGTTCATCAATACACTTAGTTGGAGCAAGAGGGCTGCGAGGTGCTGATTGCCAGATCCGATGCGGGATGTCTTTATATTGTCAGGTTGGCTAATCATCATAACACAGTGTTGTTAGGAGGCGTATTGTTATGCCATCAGGTACGGAACATTTCTTTCAAACTGTACACGAACGGAAGCTACATTTCAAAAAACAACACGATGCCTGGATCTTAAACAGCTTCAGCAGTCAATTGGGAAGCAGTTGTGACAATCTTCTTTTTGTACATGCTATTCTGGGCTGTGAGACTACGTATCACTTGTTTGACATTGGCAAGCCCATTGCTCTGAAGAATGCAAAATCCAGTCAGTACTTCCATCAGTAAGCTTCTACGTTCAGATCCCCAACTGCAAGGTGGTGCAACATCATAAAAACTGGTGAAAATGCTAAGATCTGTATATACCATGCTGAGCCGGCGGAGACACTGGACACCCTTAGATTGCGAATTTTCCACCAGAAGGTGTCCTCAAACACAACCTGTGTACAGCTTCACAAACTGCCTCCAGCATCTGTCACTGTCCAACATCGCAGCCTCCGCGTCTATCATCAGGGGCAGCAATGGTTGGAAGTGGATTTGTCGGCGGAAACATGGGGATGGACGATCCAGGACTACAAGATGATTCCTGTCTCCACTGACTTACAGCCTGCTCCTCATACTTCCTGGATGACATTAATTTATTTTGTATTTTTCAGTGTGTATGTACGAGCTTTGTGTTGGTCAGAGTGTGTATCAACTTTGTATTATTCTCTGTATAGATATATATATACGTTGTATTGGTCAATGTGTATATAAACTTTGTGTTATTTCTTGTCAATATCACCTTTGAATGTATATAATATTGTGTATTAGTGCGATAAAGGACAGTCAAAATTTTACGTGTTTGGAATAAATATATTAAATGTCATACAGTACATAGTGTACATAACCGGCTTTCTTTGAAACTGGTTGTTAGAACCTGGGGATTGTTCTACATCTTTATGCAACAAACTTCGTATATATACATACATATATGTATATAAAGCTGTTTTTATAATTTTTTTCCATGGTTCTGAGAATTCATCACTTTATGGTAGGTTACATACTATATATTTTCGAGTGTTGTGTACATCCAATTACTCGGCAGAATAACGTAAAACACTATTTAAGTCTTAACTATGCTCTTGAGAGAAAAATAATTGGTCTGAAGGAAGGACCGAGTCAACAACAACCGTTTCTCACTGACAACACATAACGAGTAGCGATATTGACTATGATGATCATAATGGTTATAATGCTTCCATAGCCGAAAGCGTGGAGCATGTCCATCGGCTTATTGCGGCTCGAACCTTGGACTTTAGATCTTCAGTCCATTACAATATTCATAAGGTCATACCAAGCTCTAAATAATAAGACTTTATCTTGATTATAATTTGTATTTAATCAATATTTTACATATAGGTGTACTCAGTGACAAAACACCGTAAAAGCTAAAGGAATAGAGAAATCACAATCAGAAAAGAAATACAAAGACTAACTGTATGTAAGATTGTTTTTGTTTATAAGTAGCAAGGCCTTATGCAGTGTACTGCATCAGTGTACTGTAAAAACGAATAAAAAATTCATGCAAAAGTATCATATTGCTTATATCCACATTTATTAATATTTAATGATATTCGGGATTAATCAGCTCATAGTTAGCGTGACGAAGAAAGTTAGAAAAGGGGCATGTCTGAAAATATATACACAGGTTATAAATACATATACATAGTTAATATCACAGTATGTACTTGATTGGGTAGGTGGAAAAAATGTAAGGTTTATATCAAAAGAGTTGAAACTGTGAAATGAATTAGAGTTTCAAGTTCAAATTTAAATTTAATGACAGGTATTCGGGAAATTAACTAATTAAATAACTAGTTACTTCGGCTATTCGAGGATGGGATGTCATCCTTCGCCCCGCACGCGATTGAGGTTATAAGGCTTACTGGAGAAGAAAAAAATAGAGTTAATCCACGTCATCCATTTTACGTAGTTTGACTCCTTTTCCAATGATTCAGCATTGTATCCATATAGAAACACATATTCGAAAACTTCACTAACCTATTCCAAATGATTATTGTTGATGACAACACAAGCATTTCTTAAGTACCATGAAACTGGGTTATGACTATTTTGGAGTTATGTAAGCATCAGATATGTAAAACGAAAAAAAAAAAATGGTTAGGTCACATATTGTCGGGATACTGTACGTCAGTGTAAATATGTAACATGGTCTTCATTTGTTTCTTGTGGTCAAGGGCATCTACAGAATATTACAGTTTTATAATATTTGAAATGTTCTCCAATTCTAAGCTATTAAAGACAGATGAGTGACATAGGATCTTACCTTGTACCGAATGTTGACTGGATTAGGGTCCCTAAGCCTGACACAAAAAATATTGTTGATGTTATGTACCCTCGAGCTGGGTCGGAGTCTTGGATGCAGAGCTTTGGTGTGACCAAATAAGGATATGCCACAGTCGACCCGAACATCGTCAGATATTGCTATTATTTTCAAATCAGTAAATACATTGTTTTTATTCATATTTCAATCAACTGACTTAAAGACTTGTGTGTAAGGTGCTTTAACTTATTTTTACTGAACAGTACTAACCTATTTTCATGTAGGTATCTGAACATCAACATTAACAATGTGTAACGTTTATATTATCAATGTGTAAAATTGACGCTTCTATTTTATTCTTCTATACATTTAAGTAGACAAACTGACTCAAAGAATGATTTTCTCCATCATCAAAATTTTTGGGTCAAAGAAGAGAAAAGACCCATTTTAAGATGTGTGACATGTAACCGAGTTAGACGATTTTTGGGTAATTACATCCATGATTTGTAATTTTAAACATCTCAGGTTGAGACACAAAGTAAAACACAGTTTTATTGTCACTTTAAAAAAAAATTCTTAAGAAACTTGTTATATTCTAAAATATTTTGTGCTTTTATTTGAAATAGTGATTTACGTAATAATATATAATGAAAAAAAAAATATATTAAATTTCATGTTCTCACCTGAATCCCAAGTAGGATACAGAGGTACCAACGAGGAGCTTCATCCACTGTGTATAAGATGTCACCCCTAACTCTGCCTTCGTTTGTGACTTCCACAATAGACGCCTACAAATTAATGGATGGTAAAAAGATAGACAATTAAATGGTTTTAAGTACCTTTAGAGGTACACGTATCACGTTTACTTAATTCAAACCTGTATTTTTCAAGGTTCGTTTGGTGTTTGTTTAATTTTTTCTTCAACACTTGAACCAGTCGTGCTAGTTTTGGAATTAACTTGAAAAATTCTTGGATTTCTTTATGTTTACATTGTAAGCCCTTCACTGGGTATATCGCGTTGGAGAAGTTTCCATCAGATGGCAAGTTTCGCGTCTCTATACATTGTGTTCATTAGTAATAAATTTTCATTTTCTTAATACACGTTTTGAAACAAAATAATGTTTATTAGTATATGTAACTATTTTTAGAAGTTTGGTTTGAGATTCTTGTTTTAAACGTTTGATTAATATGTGTAGTTGGACATATTATAATATTATAAATGACATCGACCAGCTTCTCGAGGAAAGTTTTTAGTACAACTTTTTTTTACATGGAGAGAGTACTTTAATCAACAATCATAACTAAAATGTTAACAATTAGAACAAACATTTAATTTTATTTTGGACCAAAGAAAAACATACGATTGGCTGAAAGCTAATTTATTTACTCTTTATATTCATTTCAAAACGAGTTGTACTTGACTCAAACAGACTCATATACAGCAAACACAGATAAATTGTCAGAATAATTCAACCAAACATATACTGGAGTTATTATAATGTAAAGATAATTTGAAGATAGCTTGTATAACTAAGATACCACAAAAAGTGTTTTAGAGGTTGAGATATCTCTGAAACTATCTTTCGTAACATTTTCTTATAGCAATATTATTAAATACTCTATAATCCTTTGCTTGTTTTAATTTTTTACTAGTTTTTGCTCTCTACGCATAAAATGTTTATAAATTAAGCTAAAGAAAACTAACTAATCAATAAGGAGATTTCTATACCAGACTAACCGCTTCTTACCTGTGTTTCATCAACTTTTGTCTGGCTTTCTTTTCCTGCGGCGTTTGTTTCGTTCTACGTGTAAAGAGATACACACACGCATATATAAATATGTATATACATAAACTTGTTAATGTTCAACGAGTTCAATGTTCAACTTCACAGTCGTTGGTTTCATTCTAAGTTTAAATTTTATATGTATATACATAAACTTGTTAATGTTCAACGAGTTCAATGTTCAACTTCACAGTCGTTGGTTTCATTCTAAGTTTAAATTTTATATGTATATACATAAACTTGTTAATGTTCAACGAGTTCAATGTTCAACTTCACAGTCGTTGGT